AACTCAAATCGCATCCTACAGTTGAACTGTGCGACTCTTTGGAAGGGCATTCGTAGTCGGACAAGATTGTTCAGGACCATGTCTCCAGTCTTTTTTGTCCGCTTTGGGACAGCCCAGCTGCCTGCCGTCCAGTCAGAGCCTCATGAGGGGAGGCTAAGCAGCCAGGGTGTGTCTCAGACTTGACGGGCATTCCCCAAGAGGCAGCCGCTAGGCCGCCCAAGTTTTCAGATCCCGGACCGTTGTCGGTGGGCCTGCTGTCGATCACCTCCGAATCCAGAGAACCGTCGACGCTGGCGCACCTAGCGCGTGTTTCCTGCCAGCCGTGGCCTGCGGATGCAACCATAAGAACCTGGGGAGCAATCATCGAAACGCGGGAGGCTTTTCTGACAGCCAGGGACGCCCAGGGCTCAGGAGTGGCGCCCTGCCCTGCGTGAGACGCCCGCACCGCCGTTGCCCTCGAGCTGAGGCTTTTCGCTTCATGGGTGGCCCTGAAATTACAGCGAGATAGAGCCGTGAGGCGCGATCATGAAGAATGCCGTCACCCTAGCTGTCATCCGCGTACCGGCAGTCATCACGATGGCATGGGGGGCGGGCCCCCAAACAGCGAGCATTGGCTATGCGCTGTCTGCTGGGATCCGGCAGACCAGAGCAGAAGGAATCCCATCAGATGCGTCTTGGCGCATGTGTGAAAGATGGGGCCCTGCAGCGCGCTTCGTATCTAGCATCGCCCTAAGAAGCCGCCTAGCAGTGGTCGCCGACCACAATGGTGGGAATCAATTTCTGTCCATCTGCTCTGAAGGAGCAAGGGTTCGACATGTGTGTTTGGACACGAGTATCGAGGCTGCATGCCCAGCCCATCACGAAAACTCTTTGCCCTACCTCTGCTGCCTGTCAGATGCAGCAGCATTAGCTCGCTGTCCGGTGCGCATTCCGGGAAAACCGCCTCACCCATACCCATACGAGTCTTCTACATACTGCGCCCCTTGGCGGAATATGCAGTCGCCAGCCGGCATCTCGTCACTAGCTGAAGGTTTGCGCGTTGGGTCTTGGCGGCGACCCGAGCGATGCTGCTGGACGGCTCTTGGGATCCCGCCCACAAGACAGCGAATAGGAATCTCAGGAAGCGATCTAAACACTTGCGCTTGGCCCGCTCCACCCGGGTCTTGGATTTGGAGCTCTATTAGATTGGATTGCGATAAGACTGCGAACCTTCAGACTGGCTGAAGAAGCCTTACCACGATACTACTAGCGGGCAGCCTCCACAGCAGCGTTCAACAGTACTTTTTCGACCAGGTTGTGATCCCACCACCCCTGTACCCGTCGCCTGCCGGCAGGCGACAGGCGAGAGGCCCTGCTCACTGCGGGGAAGCTTCACAGTGTTCTCCGGGCCTGCAGCTTATGATTGCGTGCTGGCCGTGGAAATTGGTCTTGACAAAGAATTCGTATGATGACCATATGATACAACTCACGACTCCCTTCCCGCGTCAAGATGGTTTGGCCGTAATGGCCCCGAGAGGAATAACCCGATCCATAACATTGGGTCTTACCTTCCCCGGATCTGCATGCCAACCTTCCGATATTGAAATAATGATAGCTTACACATACCCAAGGATTTCCCACGCATAATCAATTTCTAACCCTACAAAGTACAGAAGCTGCTACCACCATTGGCCTAGCCAATTGACCTTCCCAAGGCAGGGCCATCGCACGGTATACTGTCTACATAGGACATATCTCAAGGCTCGTTTGACGATAAGAGGCATGTTTCCAAAGCTCCCACGTGCAACCTTTGGTGCAAGTAAATGTGGGCAAGCCTCGCGCTTGTGTTGCACTTATGACTACAACTAGCTTATGTGTCTGTCAAAAACCTATTACCTGTAGCGAGGCCCGTAGAAGAGTGCATCTGACCAAAAAGCATCTCAAGTATGTACACAGGAAGCGCGAGAGCGTTCCAGAATTCAATAATGTTATACCAACATTTTGTATAACGAATGCACGGTACCTTTGCTTGCAACAGCGCCAATAGATATCGATCAGACTATACGTTATAAGATGAGTGGTACCTTTGCCCATGGATATTGATCATGCTATACACTCTTGACACAATAAAATGAAAGGTACTTTTGCTTACACCAGCGCCAACGCCGCCTCATGTTGCCACTGCCGGCGCCAGCAGTTAGACTCCAGCATTACTAGACATTCAGGGCTCAAACGGCGTGGCGTGCTGGAAATGCCCAATCACAGACCGGTCGGGTCAAATTCCGCAGGCCAGTTAATTACCCTGATGGCTGACTAGAGCCCCCACGAAACTATCAACACTAATATCTATTGACACGGGGACTATGACTCGTGATCTAAAGGCGCCGAATGGGGAAATTCAAGGTAATACTAGTAAATACCCGCTTGCCGACACCAACACTCGCGGATGAGTTCGCGCTTCGATGGCCAGCATATCGCTAACGGCCACGCTCAGACGGTCGGGAGTAGTCCCGTGGGGAGTGTGCGCGCCTGGTTCCAGCAATGTCAATGCCCACCGCTGGGACAGGGCGACACTAGGGTGGTCTAGCGGCTCTGTGGCGCGGGCTGTGAAGATCCGTCCAGGAACGGCAAAGAGGGTCCTCTAGTAAGTTGCTTTTTTGCGTCGATCACACGTTACTCTGAGCTCTAACCTGGTGAGTTGGAAGACGGGTGTCTCACGCTCTAGCAGCAGCACTATGGAATGTCGAGATGTCAACCTGGAGGTAAAGGGGAAAGGCCTTGCGACTGGGGTTTGTGAGCATTAGCATTCACATGGTGTAGAAGAAAGACGTTAGCAGTCAGTTAGAGTTCCAAACCAAAGAAGTACGTTGACTGCAACCAGCGGCAGTTGGACTTGAGTCTAGTCTATATGCCGCGTGCGTTTGTGACCCTATGCTACTTACAGTACCCACTGGGGATGACCCTCCTGCCCTCACGGTGAGGAGTTGGCTTGTCTATCAAGAGTCTGCCAGGCGCCTTGGTCTCTTCTGACTATCTGTGAAGCAGCCAGCTACCGAGCGTCGCCTCCATTTCAGATTTGGGCAGGTACTTTCTTGCGTCTGTGGAAACGTCGACCATGACATGTTAAGTCTTCTCCAGTCACGGATGGTATAGAAATTACGAGGTTTGCTGCGGATTCTGTCTATACCTCCTATCAACAAACACGTGCTATACCCAGCTGATCAATAGCGAATGAGTTTAGACATGGCAAGGCAAGCCGTTATGTGACAGGAGACTATTCTGCATACTGTGTGTACTTGTTCCTGACGATCTTCCGTCTTATCTTCACCCGCTTGTGCTGTACCCAGATTAGTGCGGCCTTCTACGTTGATCAGCTCCTTTTCAGAAATAGGCGTGTTTGCTTTGTAGATTCTAGATATTCTAGACCTCAGCAAGTAGTACCTGCAGCTCGAGCCCCTGGCACACGTGGGTATCATGGAGCTGTCACTATGCCGGTTCTCATGGTTATAAAATTTGAAGGCCATTATCATCACACTACTCTACGACCGAAACATTGGGTTGAGACTTCCGTTCTTCAATGCGTTTGAATTAACCCAAGAGCTGGGCCGAGTTCCGGAGAATATGCAAGCACAGGACTCTCTCTCCCCTGGCTCAACATGCATCGCGTCTCCACTGATACGTCTGCCCGTTTGCAGAGACAAAGACTTACGTGGTGAAATCTACAGCCGGTGACTAATAGCTTGCTTGAACGTTGTTCACCGAGTGCCCACTGCTAAGCCAAGTGCCGGCTGATCCTTTACGGAGATATGGATGCTGCCGGATCTGCGGACCACGCGTCTGCCAGACAATCGGTAACCTGGGGCCAGGCGGTGATCTCTCCCCGGAATAGGCTGCGTAGAGGCATGTCAATGTGTTGGGGGTGGGGGGAAGACGTAGCCTCAAGAGATCCAACCAATATATCAAGAATATACCTCATCAAGCTCGATGTAGAGCAACCTGAAATGGAACGACGGAGTCCCTGGTTGAACTCTCGGTGGACCATCAAGCAGAAAAGCAACTCGATCGCCACGCAAGTCACTCACTGATTGCGACATCTCTCGCAGGCGTCATGCGTGCAATTTTCGGCGCCATTGTGCCTGGTTCTGGCCCCTTGAATCACCACCGACACCACCCATACCTCTGAAGCTTGAGTGATTTTACCGCCGGTTTGGCGATTCCACGTGATACGTCCCAGACTACTCCGACTCGGGGAGCGATGGAAGGAGGGTGCAGCATGAGGGCCAGGAGGTGCTGCTGTCTCTCTTTCAATTTTCCTGACTCTTTCTCCCCTTCTCTTTTCTTCATGTTATATGTCCAACATATACTGTATCGGGGAATCAGCATCGAAATTCAGCTCTTCTGTATAGTCGTCATTACCGGACACGGAGCCTCCCAACATATCATGCCGTTTTCCCAGTGCCCGAGTTGGTATACCTCTAATATCTTTACGTGAGCTCCAAGTTAGATGATGACCTCCGCCCTTGGAGGGAGAAGGGGAGCACGCCGTCAGCATTCTCAGGTAAATTACGAGTGTTTGGAGAGCCAGGAACGTGTCGGGACTTTTACTCGTCCTGTCAGTATTGATCGTAGTTGGCAATTGTACACACCCGTAATAGATATCTCAAGGCCTCAAGTGAGGCTAGTTGGTCTTCCCTCGGTGGGTGTGCAATATTGGAAGGTTAAGCACCTCTAATAGGTCGTTCAATGTAGTTATCAAGAGGCGGGCAGTACAGATCATGATAAGTCAAGATAGTATTTTCTCATTCTCAGGCTCGAATTTTTTGGTACTATACAACACCCAAGCAAGCCGGAGCATGCGATGATTTCAAAAGACAGCCGAATCCCAGACCGCAACTCCTGCTCCGTGCAAAATTATTTCTACCTGGGGCCCAAGCCAGACAGACGTCTGATTCTATCATACGCATGTCACCAATCCATCCACCCATTCACAATATATGTCCTCTTCCTCTTTCTGCTCCTGTTTACAGAACAATGGCCAACTCTGACCTATCAATGCCGTCCTCCGTCAGGTTCGGGTAGTAAGGCACCATGGCGTCAGCGGCCTGGACGTATGCGTCGTTGTAGAGACGCCAGTACGGTGTGCGGACCTTGCGGGCAGGGTGGAAGAGACCCGCCCAAACATAGTTCATGACGAGTCCCGGGCCAACAGCCATACGGATAGCCTCGATGGCCTCAACAATGCGGTCGATGACGTGGGGCGAGGTCTCGAACAGATTTGGATAGAGCAAGTTGAGCAAATGAACCATGGCGTCCTCACAGCCGAGGCCGACAACGCCCAGCGCGATGTGTTTGACAACCGAGGCGGCTGTCTGCCGGTGCACCTGGTCACGGTCGATGAGGGCATCCTCGAGGAGCGGTGTCACTGCATAGACGTAGTCCTTGGCCATTTCGCCGATGTACTCGAAGAGGAAGGAAAGCGATTTGAGCACACCGTTCTGAACATTGAGCTCGGGCACCCGGTACTCGTTCATTAGGGCTGGGAGGACAGTGAAGGGAGCGCAAGTCTCGGCGACGATGCCAATGGCGACAGCCGTACACACACGCGACTGACGCTCCTGAACACGGAGATTGTTCAGTAAAGTCGCCAAGACATCCTGTGGACCAATAGCCTTTGCAATGAAACCAAATGTGTTGTTTGCCGCTCGCCGAATGCCCTTCTTGTGCGCTTTCAGCATGTCGAGTAATTCGAAGCAGATACGCATCCACTCGCGAGCATTAACACTTTCTGGTCCACGGTCGGCAATACGGCCGACAAGGTCAATGGTGTTCTCTTGGACCTTTTCGTGACGGTTTCGCAGGATGGGGGTTAGGCGTGGCAGCAGGTCTTTGATAGGGGGCTGCATCTGGCTAATTCCAACGACGGTAACAATGGAACGTAGAGCACCGAGAATCGATCCAAGCACTTCTGGGTACTCCTCACCAAGGTATTCGTAAAGCACAATGCCCAGCTTGCCCATCAAGGCATCCTCACCACACTGCTTCATGACCATGGCAATGCGGGATATCAAATCTGCTGCCTGTTGTCGTACGGTTGCTGATTTGTTGTTGAGACGCCACAAGATGGTACTGACGATTTGGGGCAGATATGGCTTGCATCGGGACCCCAGTGCGTTGACGACGGTGCCGAAACCGTTCAGCATGATGACGTCTTCGACACCCTGCTCTTGGAACGAGTGCAAGATACCATCGATCAAGCGTTCCTCCAACCTTTCTCCAATGTCGGCAGCACCCAGGCCGGCGATGACTTTCTCAATGGTCTCGACGGTCATCTTACGGTAAGCCTCACTCTCATCCTTCAGGTTACCGACGACACGTTCAGTGATCTCACTGACGCCAACCTTCTGAGCAATGTCGACTGTGGTCTCTACCACCTGCCTGTAGTTTCGCTTGTCCAGCGCCATGCGACGCACCCAGAAGCTCTTGAAGAACTCATCAAGGACGTGTTCTTTCAGATATCCAGCTGTAACACCTTCGGTTCCGGCGCATTGGGATACCACCTTGAGCACCACCTTTTTCATTTCCTCATCTGGCGAAGAGAATTCTCGCAGGAGGATCTCCATGATTTGACTGGTGTAGTAGTTGGCATAATCCTCGTCCATTAGGGGAATGATATATCCGACAGCTTTGAGAAATCCTGCAAGGCCCTTGCCTCTCTGCTTTCTGGCACCGGTCCAGAGGGGATTAAGGATATCATCGAAGCTCTCGATACCATATGGGTTGGAAGCTTCTGCTAGAGCCGCGATGGCCAAACTGGTCACCGTCCGCACCTTGGTCTGTTCGTCATTCAGGTTAGGGCCAATACAGTCAACAAGACCCTTCAGATGTGGCAGCACAGCGCAACCCATCAAGATGGGTATCTGCTGCACAATCTTGACACCCGTGTGTCGGGCTTGCCACGATTTCTTGCTTCGGCAAACGGCTCTGAGAAATGGTAAAAGAGCGGGAATGCCCAAGGCCGAAGCTACCACGGCAAATGCACGCGCCGTGGTGTTCCGGACGTATTCATCGACGTGATCGATATCTGGCCTCATGGTACTGATCATAGTGGCAAGACCAGCGGCTTTACTGAGGTTAGAGATGATTTCCCGACCCTCGACTCTGGCGTAGTAGTCTTGGTCAATGAGCAGAGGCTCAATAACGACGAGAATTTTGTGAACGTATGGGCGTACCAAATCGTCCAATTTGTAGAGTATACGGTCGATGACCTTGACGAGCAAGTGGCGTTCCTGGTCCTCAAGCGTTTTCTCCATGAGTAGTGGCAAGATCTGGTTGAATAGGGGCCCGGCACCAAAGTTACGCGCGTTATCAGTCAGCTGTCTCAGCGCAGTCTTTCGCATGGGTGGAGTTCCGTTTTTGACCTTAAGGAGCAATCTCATGATCTTGCGCTCCTTTAGCTCTTCGACACTCAGGGCGGCCTCATCAGACCCGTCGGTCAGCTTGCCGAAGTAAGCCATATCCTCAGGCTTGAAGAATTGGAGATCACCAACACCTGGGATCTCCTTGGGCATAGGGGCGCCACCTAGTCTGACACTCTCTGGGTCTTGCATCATGAAGCCGCTGGCGGGGAGGGGCGTAGCGGCAACTCGGTGTGTAGGCGCTCGAGTGGGCGCATATCCAGGCGGCGGCTCAAGAACCTTGTAGCCGTCTGCCTCTCCGGGAAGAAGGTCATCCAGCTCTTCATCGCTGATGGGTGCGTTGGGCCCGGCGATGTCGGTCCCAAAGGAAGGAGTAGCACCCCCTATGCTGGACGTGTGCATGGGAGTCACAAGACCACTGGCACCCATCGGGGTAGCAGATGGAGCTTGGTCCCACCGTGATCGTTTCTTGGAGGCATCCGCAGCGCCGGGAGCTGGCAGGGCTGGTGCTTCATCCCACCTGGATCGCTTGGACTTGGCTTCCGCAGCGCCCGCTGCTGGTTCGTCCACGGCGGTCGAAGAAACATCCCATCTCTTCTTGCGCTTGCGGCCGGCAGAGACGGCCTCAGTGGACCCAGCTTCGGCGTTCTCCTTATCCCCGTCCTTCAAAGTGGCCTGGTGGTCGCCGTTGGTGTCCTCACCAGCGGCTCGCTTGGCTTCGATAGCCCGTCGAACCCGCTCCTCCTCCCTTTCGATCTCGCGCCGTTCCATGACATCTTTGTAGGACTCGCCATCTTCAGCAGCGCCGGCCTGGCGGTTTGCAGCAAAGGCGTCAGCACGCGTGGGGGTCAGAACGCGGTCGAAACGGCGCTTCTGATAGTCGGTCTCGCGATCGACGATGCGGGTGCTCTTCTCGCCACGGCCGGCGAAGGGGTCGTCCTCCTCGACGCCATTGCCGCGTGCAAACTCGTCGATCTGGGAACGAGTGGCCGTGTACTGGCCGACTAGGCGGCGACCCCCGTCGGCGTCTTCCATGTCAGCGTCGCCATCGTCGCCGTCTGCGGGGATGGAGGTGAGGTAGCCCTGGAACTTGTCGCCGCCATCGCGAGTGTACAGGTCGGTGTCGAAGGAGTCGGTCAGGTTGGCCTTGGTGGACGTGTCGGATCGCTGGTTGGAGGGATCGAAAGTGCGCGAACCCTTCTTGGCAGCCGCGGCAGCGTTGCGCTCTTGCTGGAGCTTTCTGATGGCGTCAAAGTCAGCGTCCGACATGATGGATATCTTAGCCGCCAGCAGTCATGACCTTTTCCAGGGTTCCGGGATGAAAAAAGGTGATTGCGACTGGGCGAGAAGACGGGATTTGCGGCGATGAGGTTGTCGTTGCAGATTGCTCTGAGGCAGAGGCCAGGCCCAGCCGCCGCGAGGCTCAAGAAATTGTGTCTATATGCGCGCTAGCCGGAAAAGCGCTTAGCGGGCCAGAGCTCCAGGTGGCGGGTAACCTTGGAAGCTGTGGCGCGCTGTGGCGATTAGTCACCCCGACAATCCGCCAGCTGGACAGGCTGCCACCACGCAATCAGTCAGAAGATCAAATCCAAGCGAGCCTCAGGGAGGGGGACTTGGCATACGCCTGGAGTAAGGGTGTGAAGCAGAGGATCATTGCTTCTGGAGATTCTCTTCAATACAATTGGTTGTGCTTACCTGCAGTACGTGCTAGTGAAACAACCATTGCCTCAACCAAATTCATGCAATATCAACCGTTTTGTACGGTTACTCTGGTACATACGACCATAAGCGCTAGAAAACTCGGGATCCCGTCCGCTCTCCCATAGATAAGCTGGCGACTGCTGGATTAGTAGTTGGGTGGGTGACCACCAGCGAATACCCGGTGTTGTATGTTTTTGCTTTTGTTCTTTGACACTGCTTTTTTCCAACCTCGCTTTTCGCTGTTATTCCTTTTTTTGTTATTTTTTCCTCCTTTTTTTTTTTTTTTTTTTTTTTTTTTTTTTTTTTTTTTTTTTTTTTTTTTTT